TATCGCGGGCTTAGGTTCAAAGCTCATCGAGGTCACGTGTTTTTGTTTTAATCATAGGCTCATGTCGGGTTAACTTGTTGAAATCAGAGCCGGGTTGTTCGGAAGCCGGTAAACGCTAACCTAGGATTAAACGTTAACTGAAGGATAAATTTTTTATGCGTACAAATGTTTTTCACTGCTTTTGTTTAGTGTAGTTTGAGATTGTTCAAACTCAAAACAGAAGGCCAAACAATATGCAGAAAAACTTGTAGCAAAGTTACAAAACTCAAATCAAAATTCTCGCTTATCCTGGGTTGGCTTAACCGGGCTTTGAATAACCAGGCCCAGGAGGTCCGCTTTTAGGCTTGGCTAAATCTATATATAATCATTAAAAGGCTCATCGCTTTAATCACAAACGATTGGTATTTTATGCCAGAAAAGTAGCATTCCAAAAGTTTGTTATTTATTCAGTATCAAGCAGCAGACAAAATTTGGCGATAATTGCTTTTCTAAAAGTTAACTTATGTTAAATAGACAAAGTAGGGAAAAAACGGGTATTTATCAAATTAATAATAAATTTTTAATACGTCAAGATATCACGCAGTTTTTGCAAATTCTAATTTTGGATTTATTTGCGTTTGAGGGAAATGAATAAAGAAACCAGAATGTGTTTTTAATGTTAACAAACTGCTAACATAATTTTCGCACGCTCTGAACTGTTTAACTACTGATTTAGAGCAGTTGCTCAAGGGATTGCTGAAAGTGATATTTAGAGGAAAACTATTTTTCAGCGTTTTGCAGTGCTAAGGAGTGAATGTTATATGACGGAACGTTTGGTTTGAAAAAAAAAAAAATGATTTCGCTTGCGCAACTAGTGCCAGTCTCAAGCCGCGCGTTAGAATTTTAAATCCCTAAAACTCGGAAGAAAAGAGGAAGAGTTCCGATTTTTCTTATGAAAAGAAATAAGTTAGCTTTCTTTATAATCGTACGTATGGAATTATTGTTTACGCGTAAAAAGTGGAAAGCTACTGTAGAAAGTCCGTTAATAATGGTGTTTCTTACCCGATACCTTTCATGATAATGCGAGTTTCAATGCGTACGTGTAGCATTAAGCACGTGGACGTTCTTAAGCTATTGATTCTGATTTAAATTTTCGGATTTAGATGCTTGTGAGTTTTAGGGTCTTTTCTGTTCTGGTCATGTGACCGGTCAAATATGTCCGCGATTCATAGCCAATTGGTGGTTAAGACGGACCCCTCTGAAACTCCAATTACCTTGTGCTATACACCCGACACCTCAGAGCAAAAACAAAATAGCCTCCCTGTTTACTCAGCTGGAACGACTTACTCACGCTTTTCTAGGTCGAGCGCATGTCAGTTTCCCACTAATAGATATGTCTTTTTTCTATTTTTGGCATTAGAATGAACCTATAATTTGTGGTCTGGGCTGGCTGTATCGCTGGTTTTGTGTTTGCTAAAGCAGGATATTGGAGATATTAATGTAGTAATTGAGCTTATTGGTATATACTAAAGTACCAAAATTGCGATACATGAAGGTCGTTTCCTGGTTACTTATGAAATGGAGGAAACCCCGAAATAATAGTTTCCTAAGATACATAAACAGGAAAATTCTGACAGAAATCGAAAATACACAAGTATGGTTACCACTGAAAAAGATTTCGACTACGAAAACAAAATAGCGAAATTTGTGGCCTTTCGTTTCCAGCCAGCTATTTCTTTCCTATTGCATCTGGATGTGATTAAATTTCAATGGACAGCTGTAGCAGTCTCAAATAGTAAAATAATCATAACTACCAGTTATTAATTAACACAGGAGTTCTACTTTACAGGAATTTCACTATTAATGACATACGCACGACTGTAGCAGTTTTTAAAAGTGATAACAATCAGTTTAATTAGCAATGTGCAACTTATTAAGACTACCAGTTATTATTCATTTTTTCATATACAGATATTTCAACATCTTTGAAAAAGGGATAACTTTTGAATAGCGGTTATTAAGGTACTATATACAACGAGTAATGAGAAGTTCTAAATACCTAGCCATATCTTCATTTTCTGTGACAAAGAAAGCAGTTGAGTGTGTGCCACATGTGCATGATGGATAGTTTTGAGATACGCTGCTATATTTCTTACTATCTCTGACAAAGTTAGCTTGTGGGTAGGTTATCAAATTGCTTTATAATTAATGGATAGATATCCATTTCCTAACTATCCGATAGATAGGTATTTGAAGACATGACTGATCATCGCGGTTATACAACTTAAGCAGTTGTGAAATTAAAGCCTGAAAAAGAATTCAGGCCTGAACCGGATTCGAACCTATGACCTCTGCGATATCGGAGCAGTGCTCTACCAACTGAACTATCAAGCCAGCTGGAAGCTGATCATGTTACGAGTTCGTAATATACCCGTAAATGGTGAAGAATGCAAGTGAATATATGAAAGATCATATATTTGAACAAATAATCATATATGTCGAGGAAAAGGTTGTTGTTATTCATCGTGGTAGATGGATGTAGTCACTTTCGATGTAGATCGCGACGTTTCGACTGCTTACTGCTATTCTTCTTCAGGTGATAAGGTCGACTGATTGCACGGTATCATTTATTTCACAAAGGTCGGCTGTGATTGGTGCATTTCAATCCTCCTATTGTTCCATTGTTCCGACGAGTAGCTGTTCCCTCAGTGGTCCGCTGTTGTACCGTTCTCC